GGGAGCAACACCCTGGCAGGGGGGAGCAACACCCTGGCAGGGGGAGCCCCACCACCTCACCCCTACCCCATCCCCCACATCCCCTCCAGCCTTCGCCCCCTACCCACTTCCCAATCCTACCTGCCATCCCCCACCACTACCCCAACCCTACCCCCTGCCAGCTTCACCCCCACCCCTACCCCAGGAACCCTCACCCTTGATCCTACCCTCCACTTCCCTGCCAGCCCTTGCCCCCTCCCCCCATCCTTGCCAGCCTTCACCCCACCCACCTGCTCCCATCCCCAATCTAGCTGCCAGCCCCTCCTCTCTGAACTGCCTTTGCCCCTCCTCACCCCTCCCTCCCACACCTTCCAGTCCACTTCTTCCTCCTCCCTTCCAAACCCCTGCCCCCTAAGTGCGCTTGCCCAATCCCCCTCATGTTTACCCCCAATCCCTCCAGTGTTTGCTGAGCACCCACCAAGAGCCCAGCCCAGGCCCATGGCAGGGGCCCAATGGCATGTGATGGGTGGGGCTGGCAGGATGCAAGGAGGCCCTGGCCCACTGCAGATGTGCTCCCCCCATTGCCAGGAGAGTATTAGACACAACCCCCGCCTCCCAGCCAGAGATGCCCCTGAGCATCCCATGGTGGGAGGTGCCTCCTGCTGTGATGCCCTGGGGAGGGGAGACGGTGCCCCCCATGGAATGCTACATTGTATAGATTGTTCAGAGGTGAGGTGGCATCTTATTTAACCAGGCCTCAGCCACACTGGGCAGAGCATTAAGTGATCTTATGATGATTACATCTGGGATAGATAAGCAAGCTCTGTAGCCAGGCCAGATCTGTACAGAGGAACATGACATGGTGTCAGGAGTAAACTAAGAAGAAAAAAACAGAAGGAAAACAGCAACAAAGCTTGCAGGATCTCATCAAGACGCCGCTCTTCAATGCCCCAGAGAACTTCAGCTTTGACAAACCTTCCCAATGCACAGACTGGAAGCCGTACTTGGCAAGATTTTGCATTGCTATGACGCTGCATAAGAAACTGGAGACATGCAGGTATCATCTGTCATTTATGCCCGGGGGAAGCAGGCACAGCGTGTCTTTAAATCCTTTGACTGTAATGAAGGCAGTCACAAATGAAAGGGTTCTGGCTATTTTGATGTATACTTTACATCTCAGAGAAATGTGGTTTATGAAAGAGCATGTTTTCACCAGCGAATTCAAGGACCAGGGGAAAATGTTGAATGTTTTATAAGAGCTCTGCAGACATTTGCATTCTCAAAATGACAGCCAAACATGAAAATATTAGAGACAGACTGGTTATTGGGTTAACAGATAAAAACCTTTCTCAGCAGCCAAAACTGAAGAGAGATTTAACCCTAGCCACAGTTATTCAAATAGCAAAGCAGTCTGAGCAGGTGAAACCAAGAGCAACTTGCCAAACTTGAAAAACAAGAAACTAGCTTAGAAGCTGTTAATAGATGCAGTATGAGTGCTAAGTCATTCCTATAAGACCCATGGCAAGGAGAGAGAACTCCCAGGCCAAGGGGGATAAATTCCAGCCTAGATGCACAAGGTGTAGAAAAAGTCATATCCCAAGAGATGATGCATGTCCCGCCAAAGGTGCATGGTGTAATACATGCCTGAAATATGGACATTTTGCCCCTCTTTGCCACACCAAATTAGTCAGGGAGTTGATTCGTATTACAGACCATCAAGAGCCATTGTTTCTGGGATCTATCACTTGTGATGACCCAGAGCCGGCCTGGAATGTAAAACTGAATATTCCTGGCAAGACTATTGACTTTAAAATTGACTCGGGAGCTGACATCACAGTCACCTCAGAAGAACCTTACAATCCCCTTCAACCCCGCCCAGAGCTGAAGTCTAGCCCGGATTAGCCATGGAGGGATTCTGAACTGCATGGGCCAGTTCACCACAGAAACAACTTACAAAAGGGAAAAGCTATGCATCCAGAGTGCACGTGATCAAAGGATCACAGACCAACAACCTTCTGAGCCACACTGTGGCAGCCATGATGGGCCTAGTGAGAAAGGTGGAAGAATTCAATGGAATATTTGGTGAACTTGGACTTCTGAAAGGAGATCCAGTACAAATCACTTGAGGAGACAAAGCTGAGCCATACGGTGTACACGCACCTAGCAGAATTCCTATCCCATTACTTCATAAAGTACAAACTGAGTTAAAGAGAATGGCGCTAACTGGCATAATTGAGAAAATCTCTGAGCCAGCAGCGTGGTGCACCCCAATGGTACCGGTTATATATATAAAAAAAAGTAAAAATATAAAATCTGTGTGGATCTCAAGACTTAATGAAGCAGTTGTAAGAGAAAAATATGTCCTCCCAACACTGGATGACTTCCTCTCCAAAGTGAGAAGAGTCCCAGTATTCAAAGAACCACAGATTAGAAGGGACCGCAAGTGTCATCTAGTCTCACATCCTACCAAGATGTTGTGTCTAAACCATCCAAGACAGATGGCTCCCTGGCCTCCTTTTGAAAACCTCCAGTGAATGAGCTTCTCCAAGCTGGATGCCTCGCACGGATTCTGGTGAATTTCTTTAGCCAAAGGAAGTGCTAAACTGATTCCATTGATCACACCCTTTGGGAGATTTTGCTTTCAATGATCACCTTTTGGGATTGCCAGTGCACCTGAAATTTTCCAAAGAGAAATGGCATCACTGTTAACAGACACAAATGGAGTTGTAGTTTTCATGGACACTATTCTGATGTATGGATCTTTGATGGAAGAACACACCGAAACCCACAATGAAGTCTGAAGCCTCATCAGTCAAGCTGGATTCAAGGTAAACAAGAAAAATGTATGCATCCGAAAAAGTGGGCTGTAGTCCACGAAAGCTTATGCTCTAATAAATTTGATAGTCTCTAAGATGCCACAAGTACTCCTGTTCTTTTTGAAGAAAAATGTATTTTCTGCCTATCCCAAATTGAGTTTTTGGGACTGACAAGATGGAATCAGTCCTAGCCCTGAGAAAGTAAAAGCAATTTGAGAATTGAATGTACCAGAACTGAGAGGTATAGTAGGGATGGTAAAGTACCTTGGTCGAGACCTACAAGACCTACCTACAGTTTTCCTACAGAAAAAGAATTCAGGGTCCAGATCATATGTGATCGAGACCGACAGTTCAGCAGCAATCATCCGCATTTACAGTTTGCTCCTCAGAAAGAACAATCAACAGCGCAAACTCTGCAGATGGCAGATGCAGAATGAGAAGGAGCCAGTCCAAACCAACCAGAGCCAGTCGTAACTAATGGACAGCCAGATGACCAAGTTGCTATGTGTTCAGTTCTGTAATTAGGAAACCAGCACGATTCAGAGACTTTCAACAGCCTGATCCGTACTGAACTTCAAAGAGAGCGTGGCAGGGTAACTATGGTAAATGGTGGGAATGTAGAACTTAAAGAGGAAGAGGTAATGGAATGTTAAACTGTATTATATTGTTCAGCCACTAGGTAGCGCTATGTGTACAACACTGTATTGTAACAGGCCTCAGCCATGCCTGGCGGAGGAATCTGAGCACAACTGGGGTGAGCAGCTCTGAGGCTAGGCCAGCTCTGGTACCAAGGAATACGACACCCTCGTGCTGCCCTCGAGAGGCTCAGGGGCGAGGGCAGGACGTGCTCCCCGTTAGCCCAGAGGCAGAGGTGATGGAGCCAGAGGCCACGTCCCACGTTCTAGTCCCTCCTTCCCAAGCAGACTTGTCGCTGTGACTGGGCGTGGAGCTGAAGGAACTCTGAGGCAGGAAGGGGTTAAATTATTTTTATTGCACATCTTCGACATACGAGGAGCCTGCTTGTGGGGGCTCCTCTGCCCCTCCACCTCCAGCCCAGGGAAGTGACCAGACCCCCTGGACCCTCCCTAACCCACCTGGGCCAGTGATCAGATGCCCTGTCCTCTCCCCTCTGCCCAGGGCAGTGACCAGACCCCCGCATCCCCCACCAGGGCAGTGACCAGACCCCCTGCCCCTCTACCCCCACCCAGGGCAGTGTTGCCCCAGCAAACAACCCCCCAGCACCAGTATAGTGTGGGGGGCGGGGATCTGCTCACAGCCGTGGGGAGCTCCTACATGCCAGGCCTGGGGGTAGAGTGACCACCTTTTCAAAAGGGAAAAGTGGGACACATGCAGGAGCCCCGCCCCCCTCTTTGGCTCCACCCCCTGCTCTTCCTCTTCCCCCCTCAAGGCCCTGCCCCATGGCCAGGCCAGAAGCCAGAGCCAGGCTGTGGTAAGAGCCACCCAGGGAGGCCAGGCTGCGGTAGGGAGCCCCAGAGCCTCCACCTGCCCTGAGTGGGGGGCTGGGGTGCTTGACAGCATCCTGTGTCCCTGCCCCCTGGTGTGTGCCGCCCAGGGCAGGTGCAGGGTCTGGGGCTGCCCACAGCGGCCTGGGCTCCTTGGGTGGTTCTTACTATGGTCCAGGTCCAGCTCCAGCTTCCAGCCTGGCCAGGGGGCGAGACCTTGGAGGGGAGAGGAGGAGCAGGGGTGGGGTCTTGTGGCAATGGTGGGGCTAAGGTCTACCTCAGTCCCAGACCGGGGCTTGAACTCTGTATTTCGGGACTGTCCTGCCTGCTTCAGGACGGGTGGTCACCCTACCTGGGGGTGCCTTTCATCCTCACACCAGGGGCCCTAGGGTGCCCCCCCCACACACAAACACTCACTCCCTCTTTCTCTGGCCAAGGGCTGCTGGCTCCACAGAGCCCGGCTGGGACCCACCAGAGCTTGGCTGCCCTCTCTCCCCCATAGGCCCGTCCAGGGTCTCTGTGTCATCAAGCCAGCTCCCCTCCCCACATGGAAATCAGCAGGGGCCAATTGGGGTCAAGCCTGCTCTGCCTACCGCCCCGCCTAGCTACCAGGGCAGGGATCCGGGGTCTCGTCCCCTCGTCCCGGCAGGGTTAGTGCCTACGCGTTAGATCTACACAGGGCAGCGTGTGCTGCTGATGTCCCCCCCCCCATTCTGCTCTAAGGTTTGCGGTGGTGCCAGGCGGCCTCGGCGGAGCAGCGACGTGGAGAGAGGAGCCGCCTGGCTGGCCCAGCTCAGTAATACGTCTCCTTCTCCACCCAGCCTGGGGAAGGAAGGGAGAGAAGCTCGTCAGTGCCAGCAAACGGGGGAGCAGGCAGAGACGGAGCCCCCGGCTCCAGGGGGTGCGCCTGGCTTGGGGGTGGCGGTGCCAGGGCAGGGTGAGAGGTACAGTGGGTCAGACACAGGCCTGGGCTAGGGGGAGACATGACGTCCATTCCCTGCTCGGCACAGCCGCCCTCCAGAGCCAAGCGTCTCTGCCAGCAGGCAGTTCACGGGCCCCGATCCAACCCCAGGGCAGCAGGGCCTGTTGCCTTCCCCTCCCAGGCACCAGGTCGAACCCTGGCCCAGGGCAGTAGGGATAGAGGGAGCTGGGGAGCCCAATGGCAGAGTGGGAGTGGGGGCAGGAGGTGGGTGGGAGCGTGTGGCACTGCGGGGGGGGGGACGAGAGGGAAGGGGGCCCGTGGCAGGCAGGAGCTCACCACCAGGATAGCGCCGCAGGATCAGCTTCCGCACTTCATCGTACACAAAGATCAGCAGGCTGTACGGGAAGGCGCAGAACCACCAAGTGACCCTGTGGGAGGGCAGGGGGAGCGTTAGGGGCTGTGCCATGGGGGGATTCTGCGGGGGGGAGCCCTAGGGACTGCGCTGCCGGGGGGGGACCCTGTCGGGGGGAGCGCTAGGGACTGTGCTGCCGGGGGGACCCTTCCAGGGGGGAGCCCTAGGGACTGCGCAGCCGGGGTGACCCGGAAGTGTGTGTGGGGGGGAGCATTGGGGACCGTGCTTCTGGGGAGACCCTGCCGGGGGGAGTGCTAGGGACTGTGCCGCCGGGGGGGACCCTGCCGGGGGGAGCGCTAGGGACTGCTCTGCCGGGGGGACTCTGAAGCGCAGGGGGGGGAGCATTGGGGACCGTGCTGCTGGGGAGACCCTGTGGGGGTGGAGGCTGGATTGCGCCACCCGGTGCCCGTGCTGGGGAAAGGGAGCCAGGCCGAGGCATGCGAGGGGGACAGCAGCTCCCTGCTATCTGTGCCCTTCGGGGCCCTGCCCCATGGCCGCGTGTCACTCACTTGAGCGGGTACATCCGCAGCGCCACCCCCATGCCAGGGCAGTAGGACAGGAAGGCGGCCAAGGCCGTCTCTTCGAGGAGACCGAAAATCAGAATTTTGTTCCTGGAGGGGAGAAGAACACAACACAGGAAATGCAGGAGGGGGGGAAGGATGGGCAACAACCTGAGCCCCCCCTCCCCCGACCCCTGGCCTCAGCCTGTGGCAGCCCACAGGGAGGTGCGAGGAGTCCTAGGGACAGAGGGCTTTGGGTCGGGGGTTGGGGTGGGGGTGGTTCGGTGTCTACTGAAGGGAGCTGTGCAAAGCCAGTTGGGATCCGGAATTTGCCCACCCAGGAGGCGCGAGCAGAACTGCTGGTTTATGGCTCATCTGAGCAATGGACCGGCCAGCAGCACAGCGCCCCCTAGTGCCACGCTGGGGCCAGCACTGCCTGCAAGCAGGGAGCCCCCTACTGAGCCCCCCACTCCACTCTCTGCAACACACCTCCGCTTGGGGCACTGGGCCCAGCACTGGCTCAGACGGGAGAGCCCCCCTTCCTGAGCTTCCCACCCCACACCCTGCAGCACAGCACCCCCCAGCACTGCCCCAGGGCACTGGCATCAGCACTGGCTTGGCGGGGACAGCCCCCCCCTCGCTGAACCTCTCATTCCACTTCCTGCAGCACAGCTCCCTCTGGGGCACTGGGCCCAGCGTCCCCTGCTGAGTCCACCACCCTGTGGTATGGCCAAACCTCCCCTCCCCTGTCACCACAGAAGTCCCGCAAGTCCTGTGTGAGCAGGAGGGTGCAGGACCGGGGGTGGGTGGGCTGAGACTCACTTCATGCCCTGCTGGAAGACGGAGTTCCTCCGGGTCTTGCAGATGATGAGGTCGGCCCACTGCACCACCACGATGCTGGCGAAGAAGGCCGTGTGGCACGTGAACTCCACCACCTTGCGCTGCTCGTAGGTCTGCGGGGACAGGGATGGGACACTGGGCACAAGGGAGGGCAGCTGGCTCCGGGCCCCTCAGTCAGTCCCCTGTCCCCCAGCTGCAAGGGGGGCTGATGGGAGCTCTGCGAATGCTGACACGGGAGAAGTGGGGCCCCGCCTGCCCCCCACCCCCGGCTCCGCACTCACCCACTCCTGCCCGTAGCTGTCCTCCAGGTCGTTTTTGGAGCGGTCGTCCCAGTCCAGGCGGATGCCCAGCAGGGTGGACGGCAGGAACCCGTTCTCCGCCAAGATCACAAAGTAGGTGAAAAACCCGCCCAGGGCCTGGATCATACCTGGGGGGGATGGCAGGGTAGGGGGGAAGGGCCACCGAGAGAGAGAGGAGCAGAGACCCATAAATGCTCCTTCCTTCCTGGTTGTCCAGTACCAGTCCAAACTGCAAAGGAGCCATGGCTCTCCACGGACCCGCCCAGCACTCCGGCCACGTGGCACGGCCCATTGGCGCTGCATGCCGGCTCCCTCCCAAGTGGGGCTCAGCTGACGGGCCAGAGCCCTGCGCAGGCTGGGTCGGCTGCAAGGACAAGGCCCTCGCCCCCAGGAGCCTCCTGTGCTGCAGACCGTTACCCCAGCAGAGCTGTGTGTCTCACCTGGATGGTGCCACCTCCAGCAGCACAGCGCCCCCTGCTGCCACGCTGGGGTACTGGTCAGTGCTAACCGCTTCTGCTCCCCGCTGCACAGCGCCCCCTGCTGCTATGCTGGAGTACTGGTCAGTGCTAACCGCCTCTGCTCCCCGCTGCACAGTGCCCCCTGCTGCCACGCTGGGGTACTGGTCAGTGCTAACCACCTCTGCTTCCCGCAGCACAGCGCCCCCTGCTGCCACGCTGGGGTACTGGTCAGTGCTAACCGCCTCTGCTCCCTGCAGCGCAGCGCCCCCTGCTGCCACGCTGGGACACTGGTCAGTGCCACTCGCTGCAGCACAGCGCCCCCTGCTGCCATGCTGGGATACCAGGTTCAGCACTAACTCGGGGGAGGGCACCCTCTATTGAACCACCAGCATGACTTTCTGCAGCCCCTAGGCTGGGGGTCTCAGTCCAGGGCTGCAGCCGCAGGTTGAGCAGACAGTGCCCACAGCCCCACTCACCGATCTGCCCGTAGGCCATGCTGATGAGTCGCTCATTCACCAGCTTGTCCGTCTTGGGGTTCCGCGGCTGCCTCTTCATGATGTCGCTTTCTGCGGCTTCGTAGGCCAGGGAGATAGCAGGGACCTGGTGGGGCACGAGGGGCCGGTCGTGAATGGGGCTGGGGTCCAGGGACTCCTACTCAACAGAGATAGGAAACCCCTTCCTCCCGTGGCATCTCGAGGGAGGGACTCAGGGCTCAGATCCAGGCTAAGCTCCTTGTCAGGTTCCAGGCTCCAGCTCTCTGGGGACGGAGAACCCTCAGTGGGCGCATCCCCTGGGTGGGATTGTCTGGTGCCACAGCGAGGGCATCTCCAGCCCGGTGTGAACTGCCCATAACGATGCACCCAGGGAGGAAATGAGTCCATGGCCCCAGAGACTGTGTGACTTGGAAAGGTCGCCCGAGAGTCAGCCTCCGTTCTCCTGGGCTTACTGCAACCCCCTTGTCCTCTGGCACCCACCCCACCTCCGCTCTCCCTGCTTGGGGTCTGCAGGGTCTCCATCCCTCCAACCCCCACTGACCAGTCTGTCCATCCCTCCCTCCCTCCTTCCATCTATCCACTGACCTGCCTGTCCATCCCTCCAACCCCCACTGACCTGCATGTCCATCCCTCCAGCCCCCACTGATCTGCCTGTCCATCCCTCCAACCCCGCACTGATCTGCCTGTCCTTCCCTCCAACCCCTCTTCCATCTATCCACTGACTAGCCTGTCCTTCCCTCCAACCCCCACTGATCTGCCTGTCCTTCCCTCAACCCCCACTGATCTGCCTGTCCTTCCCTCCAGCCTCCACTGACGTGTCTGTCCTTCCCTCCAACCCCCACTGACCTGCTTGTCCATCCCTCCCCCTCCTCCACTGACCTGCCTGTCCATCCCTCCCACCCCACTGACCTGTCTTTCCATCCATCCCTCTCTCCATCCACCCACTGACTTGCCAGTCCATCCCTTCTTCCCCCTCCCACTGACCCGCTTGTCCATCCCTCCCTCCCCTTCCCACTGACCGGCCTGTCCATTCCTCTCTCCATCCACTGACCTGCCTTTCCCTCCCTCCCTCCGCCACTGACCTGCCTGTCCATCCCTCCCCTCCATCCACTGACCTGCCTTTCCCTCCCTCCCTCCACCCATTGACTGACTTGCCCATCCCCCCCCCCACATCCATCTAGTGTATGGGTTATTCAGCTTGGGTTGCCCCCATTGAGACCGTCTGAGACATGGGGGGAGGGGAATGATTTTGCCCAGCAGAGCCAGGCCCTACCTGGCCATGTGGCACCAGCATGCTGCAGCCCAATGGGGGGGCTGGGAGGGGAGGGCTGTGCTGTGGGACTTTCATGCCATGACACTGAGCACAAACCGTAGTGCAGCCAGTCTGGGATTGGTGCTACCAGCTGAAACCACTCTCTTCCCGCCACAGCAGCCCAGGGCTGGGGCCTGGGACGCAGGGAGCGGGGCTGGCTGGAGCCCAGGGAGGGCAAAGCCCACCACGCCACGCAAACCAAGCCAGGCTTGAATCCTCACTGCTTCCATCCCTGTGCCAGGAGGAGGAGGAGCCGTTGGCCTTGCTGCCTGCAGGGCCCAATCCCCTGACCCGGCCCCTTGGGTCCCCAGCGGACCTGGCAGCCGGCTGCACCTAGTTCGCCCTGGTGCCCTTGAGGGACTCGGTGCCCTGAGCCATGGGCAAGAGAAGGGGCATCCTCAGGGTGCAGCTGTGGCCAAGGCTAAGGGCAGAGGTGCAGCAACTCCTGTTATTGCCACCCTCTGCCCCGGGGCACTGTTCTCCTCCCCCACCCCGCTCTCATTCACCCCTCCCCAACTTCCAATATCATCCCCCGTCCCATCACACCCCTGCTCCCTTCCCCCACCATGTCGGTGCCCAGGTCGATGCAGAGGATGGTGACGGTGCCCAGGGGCAGCGGGATATTGATGATGATGAAGAGCAGGAAGGGGGTGATCTCGGGGATGTTGCTGGTCAGCGTGTAGGCGATGGATTTCTTGAGGTTATCGAAGATCAGGCGGCCTGGCAGGAGAAAGCACAGGGAGAAGGAGAGTAGCGGGGCAGAGGGGAGGTGGGCAGAGGACGAAGGCGGCACTGGGGGGCGGATCGGGGGGGGGGAGGCCGTGTTGCTGCCTTTGGCAAGGCCTGGCACAATCAGGGCAGCGGCAACATCAGCTTCCTCCACTCTCAGCCTGCCGGGTGCCAGCCGGGCCCAGAGACAGCGGCACCGGGCCAGGCTCCAAGCCCAGCAGCACCAGTCTACTCCGGCGCGGGCCGGCACACGGCTTGCTGCAGCCAGCTCGGGGAGCTTTGGGCACCCATCAGGGCTCTGTGGTTGGAGGACTGCCCCACGGCAAGGCAGCAGGGGGCTGATCTGAGGCGGGGGCTGGGCTGGGCGAGCCAGTGCCAGGCCCACGTCCTTGGGTGCCCTGGATCCTGGAGCCTGCCTGGTGCTTGGCTGATGTCCGGGTCACAAATTGGCTGGGTTTGAGGGAGCAGGGTTTGAAGTGCTGCCCGCCTCCCCGCCCCCACACCAGCCCAGGCACCCACCTTCTTCCACCCCTGTCACGATGGAGGCGAAGTTGTCGTCCAGCAAGATCATGTCGGCCGCCTGCTTGGAGACGTCGGAGCCGGCGATGCCCATGGCGATGCCGATGTCGGCCTTCTTCAGGGCAGGCGAGTCGTTCACTCCATCCCCTGTCACGGCCACGATGGCCCCCTAAGGAGGGAGAGGCAGGATCAGCACCCGGAGGGGCAGTGCCAGCCCTCCAGCTGGGGGCTGGGCAGGGTGGGAGACCCCCAAGGGGAGGGCGCTGTGGGGGTGACTAAAGAAGGGGCACTGGCTCCACTGCACAATCGTGCTGTGGGGGCGCAGTGGGGCTGGAGGGGACGTACACCCCCAATCCTGACCAGGTCCCTCCTGCCCGGATAGCACTGATGTTTGGCCCAAACATGGCACAGGTCACTGCATTCACCCTGGGACTGTCACCCGGTCCCTGCCACACATCGCAGGGCTTGGGGGTGGGCGGGGGGGGAGGCTCCTGCCTCCTCCCCCCCCCCCAGAGATGGGGCTGGTGACTGAGTCCTTGAGACACAGGGGGCTACATAGATTGGGAGTGAAAGAAAGGCTAGAGGGAACAGGACTCCTGGGTTCTATTTCTTACTCTGGATGGGGAGTGGGGTCTAGAGGTTACAGCAGTGGGGAGCTGAGAGCCAGGGCTCCTGGGTTATAGTCCTGGCTTGGATGGGGAGTGGAGTTTAGTGGTTAGAGCAGGGCGGTTGGGAGGCAGGACTCCTGGGTTCTATCCCCAGCTTTGGGAGTGGGGTGGGGTCTAGTGGCTAGAACAATTACTCCCCTTTTTATGTCCTTGGGGCTCTGCGCAAGGGGAGGGGATGGCCCCAGTGAGCCTGGCTCTGAGCTCGCCGGTCAGGAGCTGGACTGCACGGCGGCCGTCTGGAGGAGAGTGGAGCTGCCCGGATGGCACCGAGCCTTTGCGCCAGTTGGGTGCGGCTCAACCCATGGACACATGAGTGCTGTGGTAGAGATGGCAATTCCCCTGGTGGTCACTAACCCACAGTGCCCGGCTCTATTAGAAGCAGGGCAGGGCGGCAGGTTTCGGAAGGGCAGGGACCTCTCACAGCCAGCCGTTCAGAGCGACCCAGGCTGACAGCCGTCCCTGGGGGCGTGCAGCCTGGAGGGCACTGGCCTAGGCCTCCCCAGTGGGGCAGTTAGGGGCAGGTGTGTGGGTCAGGCTGGCCAGCAGGGGGCAGGCTGGGTGCTCAGGGCAGGGATCCCCCACAGGGCGCAGGTTCTCACCTGCCTCTGGCAGCCCTCCACGATGATGAGCTTCTGCTGCGGGGAGGTGCGGGCAAAGACAATCTCTGTGTGGTTCTTGAGGATCTCGTCCAGCTTCTCCGGAGTCATGTCCTTGAGGTCAGAGCCATGTACCACACAGGCCTTGGCTTCCCTGCGGGGCGAGAGCAGCGTCAGGGCTGGCCAGCTCCCCACAGCCTGGCCAGGGGGCCCTGGGAGCCAGGGCCGGCTTACCTGGGGTTGACCTGGGTAACGGGGATGTTGAGCCGGGCCGCGATGTCCTCCACCGTCTCGTTGCCCTCGGAGATGATGCCCACGCCCTTGGCGATGGCCTTGGCGGTGATGGGGTGGTCGCCGGTCACCATGATCACCTGGGGGTGGAGCCAGGCAGCAGTCAGGGCATGGACACTGATGGGCAGGGTCCAGTGCCCTGGCAATGGAGCTGGGAGCCAGGACTCCTGGATTCTGTTCCCAGCTCTGGGAGGGGTAGGGACTAGTGATTAGAGCAGGGTAGCTGGGAGCCAGGACTCCTGGGTTCTGTTCCCAGCTCTGGGAGAGAAGCGAGGTCTAGTTTTTAGACTGGGGATGGTGGCTGGAAGTCAGGACTCCTAAACACAGCGGGGAGTGAGGTCTAGTGGTTTAAGCCAGCACTGGGAGGAGTGGTTAGAGCAGGGTGGCTGGGAGTCAGGACTCCTAGATGCAGCAGGGAGTGTGATCTAGTGGTTAAAGTAGGAGCCAGGACTCCTGGGTTCTGCTCCTGACAACGCAGTGTCTGGGCCAAGGCATCATGCCTGCTGGGTTTCGCACAGGGTCCCTGGCTTTGTATCCAGCGAGGCAGCGAGCATTGCTGACTGTCTGCACGGCCCCACCTATGCTCTGCCCTCAGCCTGGAGTATGGGCTCGCCTGACTGGGTGGTGAGATCTCTGCCCAATGGCCTTACCTTAATCCCTGCGCTCCGGCACTTGCCCACCGCATCCGGCACAGCCGCCCGGGGCGGGTCGATCATGGACATGAGCCCCACAAAGCACAGGCCGGTGGTGGGGAAGTTGACCTCGTCCGCGTCAAACTTGAACCCCCGGGGAAACTTGTCTTGGGGCAGGTTGAGGTGGCAGAAGCCTGGGAGAGCCGAGAGTGCCAGCGTGAGCCGCGGCCAGACCACCCCCCCACCGAGCACAATCATCCCTGCCCTGTTGGTGCTCACAATCCCCCGTGCGCGCGCGCACACACACACGGTGTTCGCTCGTTCATAGTCTCCCCCCATGTGTCCTCTCGGCCCTTCCCCCCCAGTGCCCGGGTGCCCTCACCCAGCACTCGCTCCCCAAGCCCGCCCAGCTCGAGGTAGGCGTTCTGGAAGGCATCTCTCATCTCCTCATCCAGGAGCAGCTCCTGGCCCTGCGCCAGGATGGTGGAGCAGCGGTCGAGGATGCGCTCCGGCGCGCCCTTCATCACCAGCAAGTAGCCCTCAGGATTGTCCTCACGCTCGTGGATGGAGAGCTGGAACACAACGGGGAGCCGGCTAGGGGGAGCCACGCTGGGAGGACGGGGCTCACCTCCCTCCAGCGCTGCACCCTGAGTCGCCTGCCGCTCGCCCCATGGCTGGCCCAGGACCTTTTCCTCTGTCTCTCTAGGCCCTCCCATCCTTTTGCCCCCAACTCACCTGCTCTCCTCCCCATCCCATCCCAGTGCCTCTCCTCCCCGCCCTCTGCCCTGGGCCGCTCTCCCTGCACACGCAGCCTGAGCAGGCCTGGGGCTCCCTGGCTCCCTCCAGCTCCTCCCGGCCCTGTGTCTGGGGGCGCAGCAGGCTGCGGCTGGGAGCTGGTCGCTGGCCAGAGCGCAGCATCCTGTCTATGCCCAACTATTATCCATGGGGATTGAACCTGCTGAATGAATATTGACAACAGCCAAGATCAGCCGGCTCAGCTGGGGACTGTGGCTGCTGGGGGGCTGGGAGCCAAGTGGCCAGCGCCCCACTGAGCAGCGGGGGGCTGAGGACGCTGTGGGGTTGGGAGCTCAGTGGCCAGCACGCCATTGAGAAGCTGGGGGCTGAGGATGCTGTGGGGCTGGGAGCTCAGTGGCCAGCACCCCATTGAGAAGCTGGGGGCTGAGGACGCTGTGGGGCAGCTGGGAGCCGAGCGGCCAGCACCCCACTGCATGGCTGCCCCCCAAGGGGCACAACTTTCCCGTAGACTCATTGCATTCCCACACTTATCCCCAATGCCATCTCCAAGCCACAGCCCGATTCCCTCCCCGTCGCACACTGACCCCCCCAGCCCCACGTCTGTTCCTGATCTGTGCCCATATCAACCCAGCTTGTGCCCCTCTGAGCCCCGGGCCCATGCTCCGGCCCCAGCCCCAGCCCACCTGGTACTTGTTGGTGGAGTTGAAGGGAATCTCTGTCACTTTGGGGTTCTTGTCCCGCATCTTCTTGACCGAGCCGCAGGAGAGCTGGATGCACTTGAGCAGGGCCGACTCGGAGGCGTCGCCCGCTGTGTCCCGCTGCCGAGGGGAGAGGGGCCGTCAGTGTGGGGCAAGGGCAGCCCAGAGGGAGCACTGCTGAGCAGACTGGTGGGGTGAAGGGATGAGAAGTGCAGCTGGGGTCACAGCCAATGGGAGGGCAGTCATGACCATAGCCCATGGATGGGGTGTGGTAGCGGAGCCCTGGCCAATAGGAGGGAAGGTGTGGCTGGGGTCATGGCCAATAGGAGGGGAGGCAGGATGAGGCCATGCCCAATAGAATAGGAGGCATGGCAGAGACCAATGGATGTGGAAGTGGGGCAAGGCTATGGCCAATGTGTGAGGAGGTTGGGTGGGGCCATGGCCAATGAGAGGGGAGGCATGGTGTGGCCAATCGATGGTGTAAGGTAGGGGCACTGGCCAATGGGAGGGGAGGTATGGCTGTGGCCAGTGGCTGCAGAGACAGGGCGAGGCTATGGCCAATGGGTCAGGAGGCAAGGTGGGGCCATGGTCAATGTGAGGCAGGGGAGCCATGGCCGGGGTAGTGGGTCCCGGGCCAATGGGAGGGGAGGTGTGGCTGGGTGATGGCCAATGGGAGGGGAGGTATGGCTGGGTGATGGCCAATGGGAGGGGGGTGCGACTGTGTGGCAATGGTCAATGGGAGGGGAGGTGTAGCATGTACCCCACTATAACAAAGTTTGGGGACATCTGATCTAAAATATGGGGTCCTGGACATGCAGGAAACCTGTGGGCCCAGTGCTCTGATCCAGGAGCCAGGGACACTGATCTACATGGGTCTGATCCAACACGGCCGGGGGATAAAGGACTAGCTGGCTTCATGGCTCTGATGCTGGGTGGCAGAGTCAGGGACATGGGGAGACACAGGCCACAGCTCTGTCCTACTGAGGCAGAGAAGGGGTTATCGGCTCGCTGGGCATTGCTCTGATCTGGAGCAGCAGGCGGATGGGCCGTGGGGCTCGCTGGGCATTGCTCTGATCTGGAGCAGCAGGCGGATGGGCCATGGGGCTCGCTGGGCATTGCTCTGATCTAGCACGGCTGGCGGACGGGCTATGGGGCTCGCTAGGCAATGCTCTGATCTGGCGGACGGGCCGTGGGGCTCGCTGGGCAATGCTCTGATCTGGCGGGGCTGGCGGACGGGCTATGGGGCTCGCTAGGCAATGCTCTGATCTGGCGGACGGGCCGTGGGGCTCGCTGGGCAATGCTCTGATCTGGCGGGGCTGGCGGACGGGCTATGGGGCTCCCTGGCCATTGCTCTGAGGCTGACAATCCTGCCAAGGCAGGGAACAACCCAGCCACGTGCTATGGGTCAGACTGAACAGCCCCTGGCTCTGGGATCCGGCCCTAGGAAAGCACGCTCCCATGCGCTGCTCTCTCCCCAGGCTGGCCCTGCGGCCAAGGGGGAGCTGCACAGGTCTGTGTGCTCTGAGGCCAGCTCCCCGGTGGGGGGTCCAGGCCGGACAGAGCTCTGGCAGCATGGCAGACGATGGGGGCCGTCCAAGCCCCCCGGGCAGTCTGAGCCCATCTGGCTGTGGGAAGCCAAGATCCCATCTCAGTGCAGCTCCTCACGGCCCCCTCCTCGATCTCACGTGGTGCCCCAGGCAGGGATCAGAGCAGCGTGAAGGATGGGGGAGACAAGGGGAGACCTGCAGAGCCCATATCTCCTGGAGAGTCTGGTGCGCTCAGTGCTGGGGCCCATCTCGCTTGGGGGAGCCGTGCAGGGAGCCCGGGAGCGAGGGGTGGGGTCCAGGAACCCAGCTTGCCTTGGAGATGGAGACGTTCTCTTGGCCTGGCTTGAAGACGGCTCGATTGCACAGGCCGGCGATGCGGGCCAGGGCCGCCCAGGTGGGCGAGCGCTTATCGAAGGTTGCACCTGGCAGGAGACACACCAGTCAGCCACATGACCCCATCCAGCCCCCGACCATAGGACCGGAGCAGCGAGCCGAGCCCCACTGCCTGGCTGCAGCAGTGTCATGTACAGCGCCCCCTGCTGGCCGAGGCTGGGACTAGAGCAGCCAGAACTCCCCCCAAGCCAGTACTACTGCCCTGCCCCCCACAGTGTCCCCTGCTGGCAGAGGCTGGGACTGGAGTAGCCAGGAACTCCCCGCACAGCCAGTGCTCCTGCCCCGCCATCTACAGCACCCCCTGCCAGGAGAGGCCTGGATGGAATAGCCAGGATCTATCCTACAATCTCTAATCCAGCAGAGCCTTTTGGGAGGTGCCCAGGTCTCCAAACCAGAGCCTCCCAAAGTCAGGTCCCATGGGATTGAACCGAGACAGAGGCAAACAAGGGAAAGAAGAGCCAGGAATTCGGGAGAGGAACGTGGAACACGGGTGCTGCGTGTGAGGCTTGCCACATCCACCCTGCAGGCACTGCCATGCTACCCTCTGCCCAGGGCACACTCTGGGACTCAGCACAGCTGACCCTGCAGTGCCACAGGTTCCCTCCTGTACCCCCACCTCAGCCCTGCCCTGAAGCAGCACCAGGGGTTAGACAGACGCAGGTGGGGGGAGGCAAGGATGGCTGGGGCGGGGAGATGCACAAGATGATGAGTTAGGGGTGGCTAGATGGTGCGGGTAGAGTGGAGGTGGTGTCAGGGGGCACAGATGGGGTGGCGGGAGGCACAAGGTGCATGGGTGTAGGGTACAAGCGGCCATGGCACGTGGGTGTTGATGACAGGGGGTGAGGGCACGGGTGAGAGGGACAGTGGTGGAGGGTGCAAGCAGTGGTGGTAGTGGGGGACATGGGTAGAGATGGGTGGTGATGGCACACAATGGCGGGTGGTATGTGAGAGCACAGGTGGAGTTGGCATGGGGCATAGGTAGGGATGGGGGGTGAGGGCACACGCAGTGGAGGAGTGTGACAAAGTGGGAATATTTTGTAGTATTTATATGAGTCCTGTTTGTGCCTCAGTCTCCCCTATATGACGCATTGTTACCCAGTGTGTGGAAAAAGACAGTTCGCTCACAGGGCAGGCTAACGCTATGTCTACACTACACACCTTACAGCTGCACCACTGTCAGGTCTCCCATGTAGCCGCTCTGTGCCGATGGGAGAGAGCGCTCCTGCCTGCATAATTTAACCACCCGCAAACAGCAGCAGTAGCTATGGCTGTCCACACCGGTGCTTTTGTCAGTGAAACTTACATCGGTCAGTGGTGTGGTTTTTTCACACCCTGACTGACAAAAGTTTTACCAACGACAGTGCTGGCGTAAACGTAGACTTAGGTGGTGGTGATAGTGGCAGGGGTGCGGGCGGTGGTGGCAGTCCCAGGGTTGCAGGCAGAAGGACATAGTGGTGTTGGGGGGGAGTGTAAGTGGCGGGGGTGTGGGCAGGGACGCTAGGGTGGTGATGGCATTGGTGAAGGGCAAGGGGGTGGTGGAGTGGTGATGGCACAGATGGCGGGGGGGCACAGGTAGCGCGGGTGGGGGGAGCAGGCGGCAGGTAGCAGCGACAACCTCTCACCGGACTGGTCCTCGGTGGTGTCAGCCTCGTGGATCTGGTTGTCGAACCACATGTGGGCGACCGTCATGCGGTTCTGGGTCAGGGTGCCCGTCTTGTCGGAGCAGATGGTGGAGGTGGAGCCCAGCGTCTCCACCGCCTCCAGGTTCTTCACCAGGCAGTTCTTGCGCGCCATGCGCTTGGCGGTGAGGGTCAGACACACCTGCGGGCCAGAGGGGCGGGGGTCAGAGCAGGCATGGGGGGGGGCAGGATTTGCACCTGGCACTGCCAGTGTGGTCAGACCGCCCTGCGCTGGCTGAGCCAGGGGGCCTGGCCAGACACCCAGCCCCGCCCTTGGGCAGTGCAGGAGCGGAACCTGTTACCGTGACGGTTGCCAGGAGCCCCTCCGGGACGTTGGCGACGATGATGCCGATGAGGAAGATGACGGCCTCCAGCCAGGTGTAGCCGAGGATGAGGGAGAGGATGAAGAAGGAGAGGCCCAGGAAGACGGCCACCCCGGTGATGAGCTGGATGAAGTGCTCGATCTCCATGGCGATGGGCGTGCGGCCCACCTCCAGCCCCGAAGCCAGCGAGGCGATGCGGCCCATCACTGTGCGGTCCCCAGTTGAGATGACGATGCCCCGGGCAGTGCCTAGTGCGGTGGTGGGGGAAGGGAGACAGGTATTTCAAGTACTCTGTGGGGAAGACTAGAACTGGGGTGAGCGGTCCGGGGCTGGGAGGGGGCTCAGGAGCAGCTCCGGTAAAGGATGGATTGAGGGACCCCAACAATGTAGCAACAGCCCCGTGCACTGCTTGTCTTGCCTTTGTCCCTCCCCTGCCTGGTGGCTATTCTGTGCAATGAGCTTGTGGGGGGTCTCAGCCCATCCCACCAGGCTGGTCCCTTATTGGCAGCATCAGGACTGGACGAGGCCCCTCACTGTTAGCAGGCAAGCGCGTGCCACCCATTGGGTAGGGGATGGGCCTGGCGGGGGTTGAGGCCTGGCTTGTCTCTGGGGTTAGGCCCTTCTCTGAGCAATGGGGCCCCCCCAGCCTCCAGGGCTCTCCATTCAGCACAGCATTCCCTCTGGCCTGTCTCTCAGCACAGCAGTCTGTGTGCCAGGGCCAGACCTTCCTGGCATCACGGCCCGGTCACCTGCCTGGGCACCCTCACTGGCACTGTCTCTGCAATTCTGGGGTTAGGCTGCCCTGGGGGTAATAACCCTTCTCATTTCCCCCCAGTCTGGCCATTTCAACTCCCCTTTGCTCAGTTCCGCCCCCCCTCCCGACTCCTCATCACCCCCCACACACGCACATACGGATTTCAGGGCTCCATAACCACCCCAGGCTAAGTGCCGGGGGGGCACGTGGGACAGCCCTGCAGATCCAGGGACGGGCCGTAAATTGAGTGGCCCGGCAGCCCCCTCCCCCCTTCACCTTCCACACAGTTGGTGGAGAAGAAGCAGATGTTGCGGGTCTCCAGGGGGTTCTCGTGGGTGAACTCGGGGGAGCGGGTCTGTGGCTCCGACTCGCCCGTCAGGGAGGAGTTATCTACCTGCCAAGGCAACGGGAGGCCGGTCAGGGGCTTCGGGGCCCAAGAGAGACAGAGACGGGAGGAACAGACAGACAGCACGGGGGCAATCTGCCTCAGTCATTATCAGTCCCCTGCCCTGTTACTGGCATCAGCCCATAAGCCCCGATTCTGCCCTAATAGACAGATGGACAAACCCCCCTGCTCTTGGGGCTCCCATGTCCCACCCCTGCAGTGCCCCCCAACCTCAGCACTAGTTCACATGGGGCCTTCTGCACAGAGCATGGGCTGCTGGCAGGCTCCCTTATCCCACGCAGCTCACTTGGGGGAGGGGCATGGGGGGGGAGCATGTGGACACGCGAATTTAGGGATGGAAGGGGGGGAGGGGGTTCAGCAGCTGGTGGGGGGACGGTTGGATCTGGGGCGCTTATCATTGCGGGGCAGGGGAGGGATTAGGGCCTTTATCAGAGAGGGCTGGGGGGTTTCCGAGAGCTCCAGGGTTTGGGCTGGCAGTGGGGGATACAGGGATGCTGCAGCCAGGCATACCGGGACAGCCCGGCTTCCACTTTCACCCCATCCCTGCAGGGGAGCCCAGGGTTCACATGGGACCTGGAGATTCGGCTGGCACGAGACCCTGCGACCTCCCCCCAGGCTGTCCTGACACAGCCTGCTGCCCATGGGGATCGGACAGGAGCCAGGGCCCGCCTACATGCCCCCCAGTATGGGGATCCCTACAGAGTCCAAGGGGTGGGCTGCAGCGGCCCTTCCAAGAAGGAAGGCACCAATATCCCCCTATATGGCCCTGTGGGTAAATCTCATAGGGCCACAAGAGCAGCAAGACCTCATAAGCCTTTTTGTGTAAGATCGACAAAGCAGGGTCCATCTGTCCAGTCAGTCCGCACTGATTGCCCTATAGCGGCCATGCCTCCCTCTCCTCTAGCCTATGGAGCCCCCACGCCAGCCCGGGACACAGCCCCGCCATCCTCACCTTGCAGCCGTGGGAGGAGATGATGCGCAGATCAGCAGGGACCCGGTCTCCCCCCTTCACCTCCACCAGGTCTCCCACCACCACGTTCTCGGCGTTGATCTGGATCTTCTCGCCCTCTCGGATCACCAGGGCTTGCTGCCCAACGCAACCAGAAGGAGAGGTAAAGGCAAGAACACTGCGCCCGGCTCCCGCACCCCTGGAGCCCCCTGTAACGCCCCAGCCTGCTGTGCACCGCTGACCCCCATCTGACCCGATGGGTCCCAGCCCTGGGTGGGGAGCCCTGCAGGACGGCCCTGCCAGTGGAAGCTGTGAGCAAAGCTGCAAGTGCATGTGGTTTACCTTGCATGTCCTGAGCCCACCCCCACCCTTTTCCAGGGCTTGGCCTGCTGCTGGGCTCAGGTGAAACTCCCAGTGGAGTTCTG